TGCATGCGTGTGTGTGTGTGTGTGTGTGTGTGTGTGTGTGTGTGTGTGTGTGTGTAGATTACAAAACTACAAGGCATATTGTCCTCATTCCTGTAATTCTTGGTCAGAACAACCCTGTGTCACAACTCAAGAGGCCACCTGCCTGATGAAGCTGTAATGGGGGATGTATTAAGGCAACTCCATGCAGTTCAAAGGGAGGTTTTATTTTTGGGTAACTTGTAACAAGTAAAGGAATTGGTTACAGGATCGGGGAGAGGTGAAGTGCAGTCCAGCAGTGTTCTCTGGAGAACTCTGCTCATCTGCCATCCAGCATCCAGGATCACCAGGAACCAAGAGAGCCGGCACATCCAGATCTTGGGTCTTAAGGGCTCCCATCTCTGCCCCACCTCAAGGACAGGTCATAGCTAGGCATGACGGTTACCGGAAGCCTCACTGTGCGTAGTACTTCCAGGTCAAAGCTGGGACAGCTACCCACTACAAAGCAGACCTCGTCACTCACCCCACATGGCCCCAGTGTTGGGTCTGTGGCATCTCACAAGCACACACAGTTTCCTCAGGGCTGCAAGAGACAAATCTGACCACGGAGTTCACCTTTGGGGGAGGAGGAGGAGGAGGAGGAGGAGGAGGAGGAGGGGGAGGAGGAGGAGGAGGAGGGGGAGGAGGAGGAGGAGGAGGAGGAAGAGGAGGAGGAGGAGGAGGTATTGAGAAAACATCCAGCTGTCTAAGAAGAAGTACTAGAAAGATGAAGAAAATGATACTCAAATGCCTAGATGTGAAGGGTTATTTTCCAAATATCCAAGGAACAGGTTACTGACCCCAGCTCAGATTTTCAATTCCATAGCCCATTCTGCCTTGAAAGACGGTCTCAATTTCTAGGTTTCTAAATATATATTTGAAAAACGGTATATTCTCACTAAAATTGTGGTACACATTTTTGTCCTCATTAAATGTGATTGCTGCAATAATGATATATACCCCAAACTCCTTTAGCTATTTAAGAGAAAACTTAGACTCCAGCAAAAACCCATAGCAAAGCATTAGGACCCTTTTTTTTTCCTTTTTAGCAAACCAATTACAGTGCTGAAGTGGGTGAAATATCCCAAGGAATCATTGAGAAGATCATATAGTAATTGGGCCAATTTACAGTAGGTAACTGAGAAATGCCTAAAGTTGTCATTCCTCCTGGTTAGGGCTGAATGGGAAAGAATGTGATTAATAAATAGCTTAAGCAGCAAACAGAAGGTACTTACAATGCATGAATGCTCTGGGGAGATGAGGTATTGAGAAAATCATTACGATAAAGTACAGGCAGACGTTTTGCTTAAAGGAGTTGAAACAACTTTTCAAAACATCACATTAAAGGGATATTTGGGATGGAATTGCTTATTAAGATTTTCTTTAAGTGGCCATTCAATTATAAGGTCAAATTCTAGGTGCATTAAGGTGAAATTCAATCAAGGCGAGTTTCGTGGTTTTTTTTTTTTTTTTTTTTCTGGATGTATGAAAATCCAAGGGCCCAGATCCAGGCTGTTTTTGAGCTCTCCTATCATATTCTGTGCTGCAGATAGACAGGACTCAGCACCTTCTGTAATCGCATAATTAAAGAAGGCATTATTTGGTGGAGGGTGGACAGAGGCAAAATATGCCATTCTCCTATTATTAATCTGGGATAGAAACGAATGGCACCTACCAGCCTATTTTACACAAGATGTTCAGGAAACACACCCCAGAGTTGCATAGATGTCATCCTTCAGGCAGGTTAGTGAAAGTCTCAAGAGGGCCAGACATCTGGTACTGACATAAGGATCTTCCAATGACTTTGGCTTAATTTGGAAGTGTAGGGATGTGTATCTTGGCTTTGCTCTAGTCATTCCTGCTATTTCTTTTTCTTTCTCAATTTATGTAGGAGATAGCCATTGACTTTGATTGCCTAGCATCCTTTCCCTCATTTTCAAGAAGCAGCAATCATTCTTCTTGGGAAGGCTGCTTCTCTTCTGCTCCAGGTTGCTCAGAGGGGCTCCAAAACACAACAGTGCCTTTCCATCCTAGCCTTTCCCACCAGCTGTAGGAGAACATCATACAACAAACATTACCCAATGCCCCCAGTCACAGCAATGGACTTAGGGAGGATGCTGCAACCCAAGCCACATTCAACAGAAGACTTCCTTATGCTTTTACAGTGGGTGCTTCTGATTAAATGTTACGAAGTACAGATAATGGCCGTCTGGAGTTGCCTGCTGTCCATCACCAAATAGAAGAGCTCTATCTGCAGTTAGAGTCCTGGCCACCAATTCCTCCTCTCTATCCCTTTCTTGTGTTTCTTTCCTTCAGAGCTTTACTGTGCATCCCTGCTAGTTAAACCCTATCACGAGATATCTAGTTATAAGTGGGCTCATTGCCGTAACTAGAGTCAGTGTGCCACGTGTTAATATAAAAAAGAAGCATGTCCAGGGCAGGGTAAAAATGGAAGTGAGTTTAAAAATCCTGAAACCTAGGGAGTAGTTGCAGGAGTGGAGAATGTTCATCCTCAAATACAGATGGCTGTGACACATGAATGCTGATGGTGAAGTCTGGGTTGTCCTGTCCTTACATGTCAGGCTCAGAAAATAGAACAAAAGCGTAACTAGCAGTGGAAGCTTATTTTAGGAGTCTGATTATTATAATGTTGGAAGTTCGTCCACAAAATATAGGGTGTTTCCTATTGATGGAAGGATTCAAGCAAGGATGCACCGGATGTCAGCAAGGGTATATTTGGAGAGATCTTGACACTGAGGTAAATGCTGATCCTAGATTCTAAAATTCTAGAAAAAATCCAAGCAATGGATCTATGAGTAACATGAATCTAAATAATGAATAAATTCTGTAAATGACCCAAGGCTGCTCCTGTTAGTAAGAACGGGAATCCTTGTGAAGGGACCCTGATAAAGGAGCCTGTTTGGAGGGAAGAATAGCAGAAGCTTCCAGAAGTCTATCTGTATATTGTCATTTCTCCTCAAAATGCTGGGCTGGACATTCTGGGATACAAGTAGCTCAGGCTGAAGATAATCCAAACCAATAGAACAGTTCCTGGATGTCACTTGTGCATCAACTTGTTAATGAGTTCCTTCAACTCTCACTTTCAAATCCACTCCTCACATTGCTCCCGGAATGAGATATCTTTCAAAATTGAAGACATGATCAATTTATTCATCACTGCATAAAACCTTCTAGTGTCTCTTCACAGATATCAAATCATTGCCTATGAACTTTAAACCCACCTAGAAATTTCTCAACAATTTAACATTCATCCTTTACCTTTAATTCTAAGCACTGTGGCCCCACACTGAGATTCATGGAATTTCTCATGCACTCCTCGTATTCCTCATTCTTTATGTCTTGAATTATTTGTTTCTACCTCCAAATAACTTGTAGCCTAGGTTAGGTTAGTAACTCTTATTTAATGTTCAAAGCTTAGTCAAATACCACAATGTAGGAGTGTTTCTTGCCTTTCTTACTCTTCTTTCTTTCTCAAGTCCTAATAATATCAACAAGTAGATAAACTGGTACAGATTCAGATAAAATTTAAATTATAGTATGATGGAGTATTGGTTGTATGTAATGGTACATGATAAGTCCTTCATATTTAACTTTTTCCAATGGCTACAAACTAAGATAATTAGCAGCAGGACCTTGCAGGGATCATGCCAACTGGAGGGTCAATAGAAATATGACTTTTTAGCATAGAGGCTGGACTGAGAATATAAAGGCTCCTTTGTTCTCCAGGCTGTCCATCCTTTATAGAGGACCCAAAGCTATTCTACCATAGTGGGTGGTAACTGCTACTACAGAGGGATTGGCTGTCACCAAGGGAGCCAGATGTTTTGAAACCTGAGGCCATAGCACAGTTCACACTGAAATGCTGTTCTCCCTGCCACTCAGTCTGGCAGATCTGCCTCCAGCCTCATGAGCTTCACACATCCATGGCAACATCCTAGACAGGACAGCTCCAAATAAAGAAAAGCCCCATAGCTGATCCTCCTCTGAATCTGTCTTGAATGAACACTGTGAATCAATAGGTTGTAAAGGCCAAGACATCTTAAAGAATAAACAAAAATTTTCTTTTCATTCCACTCAAGTGGCTGAATGTCTGGTGGCTTGGTTGAAAGCCATGTACAAATATTATACCTAACAGCATCCTGCCTCATTAAGAGTCAACAATGGAGGTAGAAACAGGACGGTTCACATGGCTTTTGTTGGACTTCACATGACGGACCCCTGAGACCCAAGTCCTGTTCTTTCTGTTGTTTGGTGTTTGTTTTTTGTTTCTTTGTTTTTTGTTAATCAGTGTCTTATTGTGTGGCACCTAACTGTCTGGAACTTGCCGTGTACACCAAGCTGACTTCAACCTTCAGCTGTCCTCTTAGCTCTGCCATATTGATCACCTGGAGCTCATCTTTCACTCCATCTCTTTTTGTGCAAGAGTGAGAGCTTCAAAGGAAGGATTAATGAGATACAAGGGGTGAGCCAGGTAGGCTGAGTTCTCTAAAGTTACTCGACTACATGAGGCACACAATACATAGCCAACCTTTTGGCAACGTAACATGAGGCTGTCATCTACGAAATTCATGCTCAAGAAATGTTCAACTGAGTTACAAAAAAAACACAAAAACTCATAACTTAAAAAATTAATTGCAGTTATTGATTATTTATGTGTGTCCACAACACACAAATGGTGATGGAAGTTCAGCTGGTAGGAGTCTTCTCGTCACTTCTACCATGTGGATCCCAGGGACTGAATTCAGGGCATCAGCCTTGATAGTACATACCTTCATCAGTTGAGCTACCTCACCAATCCACCATAATGTCTACAATACATTTACCATTTGGAGTTTAGATGCATTCAGAGCTATCCTTGGACACATGCAGCATGCAGCCCATGAGATGCATGTTAAACATGCCCACCCAGGAAGGTAGGGTCACAAAACAGACAAAGGAATCAGGTGAGGAATATGGGACGAAAGATTGCTCTCGTAGTTCCATGAGTTCTACCCAAGCTCTAGTTATCTTCATGTCCAGTTGGAGAGATGAATAACATGGAGAAAATAATGCCAAAGAAAAGAGGAAAGGAAGGCAATCACCACTTTGCTAAAATCTTGAGATCATTTTGTTTTATGGAGAAAAAAATACATCAAGACTATTTATTTTTTAAGCAACAGTTCCTTTTTTAAAAAAAAAAATGGATGAATGACAGTTTAATTAGGGAACATACAATGAACAGTATTAGTCTTAACATTGCTACAGAAACATCATTAAAGAAAAATGTAATAGCCACTGTTCATGGAAACAAATCTCATATTATAGCAAATGTTTTGGTTGCCATAGTACAG